AACTGGCAACAAGCTTTAATTTTTGCAGTTCTACCTACGCTAAAAGTTATCTGAGCTGTTGTAGCACGTCAGAAAATCTTGTGGCCTGTGGCCTTCCACCTTGAGCAGGGGCGGAGAGAGGGGGTGCCAGGGAGCGCTAGTCTCCTAAAATTTGAAAATCGTTTTAAATTAATATATGAAAATTTGAACTACCTTTTTAAAATTAAAAAATTTTATAAATTAATATATAAAAATTTATTTCGTCTCCTCAAAAAAAAAATTCTGACTCCACCCTGATGTTGAGCAATGCCAGGAGCAATCACCTCTTGCACTCTCCAACCAACACCTGCTTATTTATTGGGCCATGCGCGTCACATTACTTTTAACGAGTAACCCGCAACCTTCAATAACAGGTTTTTAAGAAAGAGAAATTTCAGATAAAGCAAGGTTCTGCGACTTCTTTTTTTTTTTTTTTTTGAACCAACGATTCAACAACTAGATCTGAAGCAGATGAGTTTTTAGTTGAAGCACCAAAGGTAAGTATGAAAAATCGATATTAGATTTGAGAAATTTCTTCTTTTTTTTTTTTCCCTTGAAATTCACTTAAAATAATCAAATAAAACTATTTCCTTGGACATTAATTGTTAGTTTGAGTAATGTTAGACTTATGAAGCGGAATTCATATCTTCTTTTAACAATGATTTAGCAATTAAATGAGTGCTTTATCGTCAATTTATGTTTTTTTTTAGCATTTCTAAAGTTGAGTATCCAGATAAGAATTTTAACTTGAAATTTAACTTTAATTAATTTAAAATTTAAATCTTTTGAAATTTTGTTCCAATGGAGTTTGATTTGGTGCCCATGCTTTTCCGGGGTTTTGACGAGGATGAGAGAGAAAATGCAGGACTAGAGGAGAGGAAGACAAAGGGTATTTTTGTCTTTTTATGTTGATAAAATTAACCCAAAAAAAAGGGTAATTGGTTGAAATTGAAAGTATATATAAAAAAATACTCCAACATGTTGCAGTCCAATTCAAACCGGCTGCCCTTTCATTGCCTTAAATGTAGTGTGAGGTGGTCCAATAAATAAGCAGGTGTTGGTTGGAGAGTGCAGAAGGCCACTGCCCCTACTACTCCCTAGCACTGCTCCTTCCACCTTTCCTGACCAACATGCACACACCATCTGGCATCTGCAAACGGCAAAGAGATGATTGCATCCTACTGAATTGAATTAAATGGCTCATCACGTGTGCGTGAGACAAATGCCATCTGATTCTGTATTTAAAAAACACTCATGCCCCTCGTATCAAAAG